GTGTTTGGCCGAGCAGACAAAACATACAGCGCGTTGTTCTTGACAAAGTCTTTCCAAGCTACTGTGGTAGACCGCTGAAAAACTGATATCTCCTCGGGCGCATCATCTCTCATCCATTCCGCTCCAAGCCAGTCGCAGAGCGGTACATCTTCATATCTGAGGTTTATAAGCGAAAGATACCATTTTTTGAATGCCATCTTAGCGGAATTTTTGCTTATTGTTCCATATCCATCTTGATCATACGCTTGGAAGAAAGTTCTAAGTTTGTAAACTTCTTGTTTCGTTAGATGTGGGACAAGATTTTTCTGAAAAGACACAAAAACATAATCAAGGAGCAGTCAACATTGCCCCTAATATTATTCGAGATCTGTTAGCATGTCGAAAGGACATAAGTAGCAGTATTTTTGTGTAAAGATAGATAACACTTCCCGAACAAGACGAATGAACTTGTTCACCATTAAGGAACCGTAAGAAGAATACAAAACCATAGGTCTATGTTTACAATACACTGAAATATTTAGATAATATTTAAAAGATGTGTTTAATTTTTGGCATTTGCCGGATTGTTAGATTTACCTCAGAGTATAAAGAACGCCGATTGCGAAAGCCAAGATATATGTAAAACAAAGAGGTTAAATAATTCTTTTTTTAGCTAGTTACCTTTTTCCTCGCAGTCAATTTTCTAACACACATGGGTATTTGGTATTGCCACCAATCGATCTGACCCGAATTGCTTCTGTCCATATCGGCAAATATGCGCTCTTCAATTCGAATTCGAAATTCGGGCATTTCTAATCCGACTAACTTCTGGTAACAATCTTTCTGGTAATCTAGATACTCTTCTTTATTTATAAATGAATCTGAAAACGTATGGAAAGGAAAAAAGAGAAGAAAAAAGAAACAATTTCACTTTGTACAAAAGTTACACAAAACGTCATGGTCAGTAATAGTTTTTTAGAACTAAAATAAATTAATAAAAGAAAAAAAAGAAAGAAAGAAAGAAACTAAAAGAAAAAGATGCTAATCTATAGAGTGAAACAGTTCAGTGTAGCTTAACGGATAATGTATCATGGGAGTTACAAAAGCGTTCATGTAGTTAAAGAAGTTTGGCCCATGTTTTTTTAAATTGTTCTAAGCAGTTAGATCTCAAAGGTATGGTGCAAGGAATATCAATTATGTTATTGAGTAGTGAAGGAGCTGCTCGGAAGGTTTCTCCTGATTGGTCGCAGGAAACAACGACATGTCATTCTTCCAATTGTTTTAGTATTGTTTTGGGATCAGGGAAACGCACCATTGGTGACTTCTCTTCCGAGCAGTTGCTCATCAAGAAAATATTTTTTCAACAAACCCTGATTTGTGTCAATTCGATCAAATGTTTCCATAATGTCAATCTTTTCCGTATCGGATAACAAGTCAAATAAGTTTTCCTGCAAAACAACAACAACAACAACAAAAAGCTCTGACTGATCGCTCTTTAAAAAAAAAATTAACAGTTAGTGGATTTTCCTCTTTGATCCGAGTCCTTTAGCCTCCTTGATTGCTTGCTAAAGAAAATTTGCAAAGAAGGCAAGTAATGCTCCTTTTAATTTCTATTTTTCTTTCAGTCCCAAGGTAAGGTAATGGTAAAGGCGTACACGAGCCAATGCCCTAAACAGTCGGAGCTTACCTCGGTTTGCTTAGCATGAAACATGCTTAGAAGTTTTGCTTTTCCCCCCTGGACGGGATGCTAGTCCATCGCAGGGTAATCCCCCACCCCCTCCCCCCAAGCAGTGTGTGGCTGGCACCAATTTATACACCTGGGTGAAGAGAGACAAAATGGAATAAAGCCTTGTCTTAGAAAAAAACGCGACGGGCAAGGCTTGAACCCCAGACCCCCAGATCAGGAGTTCGAGGTTTTAACCGCTCGACCACAAAGCCTCCATTTCAATCCCAAAACCAGCACTTTTTCACTTAATTGGATAACTAACGACTGACGCATGCCTCCCCCACCCCTGGTACCATTGGGAACCCCAGAAGAGCATGCTCGCAGGCTAACTTACACAAATGAAGCAGCTCCATCCAATTTCATCTGATTCAAGTTTGACTGTATCACTTGCGAAGCCATCTGAAAGGTAACCACGGCTTTCCAAACATTCTTTGTGATATATTTGTGGGCATATTCGGCAGAATATTAAAGGACTGCACTTCGTAGAGGAGGAGCGACAAATATGACAACGTGTCTCCCACTGTGGCTAAAAAAATAGTAAATATCATATTGGATATTACAGTTCTGGAAGGAGCGCTGGATGACAGACTGACTTACTGACTGAATGAATGGATGAATAAATGAATGAATGATTGACTGTCTGACAACTGACTGACTGACAGACTGAGTGACTCAAGATTGACACAATGGATGATTTACTGACTGATTCACTGTTGACTGACCGTGAGAAACTATGAAGAGTTGTTATAGAATGAATGAGCGAATGGAAAAATCGCATACAATAGTTAGCAGAGTTAGTGAGAACAACTGTTGTGAGAATATGATTCACATAAGCTGTTTAGCCGACTAATCGACAGCTGGTCTGTCTCACAATATCTTACTGACTGGTAAGAATACAAGAAATATCAGCGTACAAGGGAAACTGACAAAAACTTGTCGAAAGCGAAGACCCATAAGTTAACTCTCTTACTTCCGGTCACTTACCTTATACTGTTCATCATAAGGAAGAAATTCTTCGGTAGCCTTCAGCGTTTCAGCCTCTTTTGAAGCTCTTCTGATAAACCTTAGGACATCACCTAACTGTTTAAGCCGACCACTGTCTCTCCTGTGCTCATCGGCCAAGAAATCTCTTCGGTCGCGATTGGCTGATTCACGCAGAGCCGTCCAAGCAACACTTGTGTCATTTATGGACACGTGACCATGCCTGTTGTCACCTACATGGACGCTGCAGGAGAAATAATACTATATTCACATCATACTGGATAGCTTTTGCGCAGGCACGAAAACCATATCAGACAGGGCTTCTGTCCGCGCATAAAAACGGTGATATGATTTCGGTGCGAGTCCATGCATACAAAACAATGCGAAGCCCAAGTCAAAAGAAATAGTGAAAAACACGCCGTATCCGGCCTGATACAAACACAAACTTATAACACAAGTATAACACAATAAAGCCAATTCTACACTGCTTACCTTACTTCTTCAGGGAAAAGTGTGTAGTATAGTATACCGTTGTTTGGTATAATAGTTACTAAAATTTTACAAAAAGTCAATATGGAATAATTTGCATAATAAATCAAACTAAGCGAACTGTTTTTTATTGTACATACCTGCGTACAAACTTAAGAACTTCCTTGTCTGTATTGTCCAAAGTTTCTTCTTCCACTTCATAAGCTGTAGTACGTCTACCTTGATGTTGTCCAGTCCTGGTGTTTTTCCTTCCAAATTTCCATTCTATGATCTCTTCTATCTCTTTTGCCGCTGTCTTTTTCTTTTCACTTTTCACTTTTGATTTAAAAGCTCCGGCTGCTCTGACTGTGAGTAGAGTACGTTCTGCTTTGATACTGCCTTCTGTTTTTCTGCCTCGTACAATATTTCCCATTTTAACCCGCTCATCTCGTTATTCGCATAGTTGACTTCTTAACTGATGCGCGCGCTTAATTATCAGGTGTGAAAAGTATCTCATTTACTGACGTGACAAAGGAACTCTTCATTACTCAGCTTCAGTGGTAATTTACGTGTTTGAATTAGAAGAATTTTCAGTTCATCACCGGCGGTAAAAGAACAAAACCGAAGATATTGGGATCTGATGAGTGTCAAGTTTTACATAAAAGAGCCTCATCGACTGAGTTTATAAAAAATTAAGATTTTAATTTGAAAATGCTTAGTTTATCTCAAAACTGTCCAATCGTTTTCAGCTTAGCTAGTAAGTATCAAGAGATTTTAAGTACCAAGGTATATAAATATAATATATCTAGACTTAGCCTATACTTCTAATTTACTCAAACAAAAAAATGAGATCGAGCCATGATGCTAAACGGAGACAGCAACGAGAACTGCAAAAAAATCAATAGTCTGTTTAGCAAAAAAAACAAACAAACAAACAAACAACTTTTCAAGTGCGGCACAGACGGTCGCGTGGGCGAGCGGGTGGACGTACGGTCACGTGACTATCAAATACATAGATAACCAATTTTTCTTACCCATGGTGCTCCGGGAGAGCTCCGCTATAAATTTTTGATTGAATTTGAGAAAAAAATATGTAATGTAATTAAACGACTAATATCATTACTGCTCGGGATAATGTAATGCGGTCATATTTTTGAATTGAGAGCTACTATAACTATACTCCTCGTTGACTATTTTCTATTTTCTTCAAATGACATCCGTGGCCTGGGAACCTGGGACCAAGAGGAACCTTTCACTAGTTTCCAGTTTAACGCGACCTCGCACACTACATGGCGGACAAAAGAGCGGATTTGGCTGCGAAAAACGCTGCAGAGCTGGATAGAGAACTTGACGAGTATATTGAATCTCTTAAAAAGAAAGCAGATGGGAAACTGCGGAAGCCTGAAGTCACGGAGGAAAATTGGCAAGAGGTACAATAAAGACAGCGTATGATCAATGTAACCACGGCTTTCCAAACATTCTTTGTGATATATTTGTGGGCATATTCGGCAGAATATTAAAGGACTGCACTTCGTAGAGGAGGAGCGACAAATATGACAACGTGTCTCCCACTGTGGCTAAAAAAATAGTAAATATCATATTGGATATTACAGTTCTGGAAGGAGCGCTGGATGACAGACTGACTTACTGACTGAATGAATGGATGAATAAATGAATGAATGATTGACTGTCTGACAACTGACTGACTGACAGACTGAGTGACTCAAGATTGACACAATGGATGATTTACTGACTGATTCACTGTTGACTGACCGTGAGAAACTATGAAGAGTTGTTATAGAATGAATGAGCGAATGGAAAAATCGCATACAATAGTTAGCAGAGTTAGTGAGAACAACTGTTGTGAGAATATGATTC